GCAGCAGCAGCAGCAGCAGAAGCAGCAGGAGTAGTAGTAGTAGTAGTAGTAGTAGTAGTAGTAGTAGTAGTAGTCGTGGTGGTGGTGGTGGTGGTGGTGGCGGCGTGGTGGTGGCGGCGGTACTACTTCCAGTATTGATATGCATGCATTGCTGGAGTCATGTGTGGCATTGGTAACAGCAAAGGTCCGGGAGTTCTGATGCCGGCTGTGTGCCGGAAACCTTCGATGCTTGGCGATGCTTTAATAAGAACATATCGTAAGCTGACCAACCTAAGCCTGAACCCATGCCGCGGTCCTTTGCTTAGTAGTTGTCTTGCATCAGAGGGCAGACAAACCTTTACGACAGACATGTTCTATGTCTACGTTTTCTCAAAGTGTGAGGTGGGTAGGAGCGAGGCTGGGAGTGGCTTGAGGTGGCAGCCGATGCAGGTCTCAGCCCCGTCCCCCCACCTCTTGAGGGGGGAGGTCGTGCGTCAACAGTTTCCGTTGCAGAAGAAGCAACTTTCGAAAGGCACCCAGCACCTCAGATCAACCAGGGTGAACTTGGCAGCAGGAAGAATCAAACCCATGTGAGTGAGAATCGCCAAACCAAGTGGCCAAACCAACAGTGAGCCTGAATCAGAAGTGTTGTAACAGAGCACAGTGCGGGGTCCGGCATCCTGTGCGAGGATCTGGCTCTTGGTTGGGCTCTTCAGTGAGTGGTTGAGGAACGTGCTGGTTGCACCAACTCTGCGAGGTTAACTCTTGCCAGGAATTTGAGCGTTCTTATTTGCCACTTAGCGGATGAAGTGGATGGAGATGTGGCCAACCGTGCTTTGCTCTAGATTCTGCCGGACTTGGCGGCATCCTCGGTTCAAGTGCTGGGGCACATTCTGTATTGGCTTCGGGACACGCTTGGTGGTGTCAAGACACTCCGATGACACGTCTCCCGACAAGGCTTATCCCACCTGCCCGCTTCTTATCCCCCGACAAGGCAGAGAGTGGCTTGCACAGACAGACTTGTGCGCATCTTGCTATACCCTGGGTTGGTTTACCTCATGTACAGAAGTCCTGTCTAGTGCATGGCATACTGCTTTCTCGTGCACTGTGGGCTGAATGTAGTCCCTTTGCGGACCTAGCCATCCTTGCCTGGAGTGTCCGAGTTGCGAAAATTCAGAGCCTTCACCTGCAAGCCATATGGTTCGAGACGCTTTGCCTGGACGCGTTGGAGGTTGGCATGTTTGGCCATAGAGTCGGCACCGCTACGAAAGCCCATAGCAACCATCGATCTCGAAGGTTTTCCGAGAAACAGGGTCTCATGTAATTATGTTTCCCGGCTGTTGTGGCACGTCTTGCATGCTGTCCGAATGGAGGTTCACGACCGAGAAGGTGAGATGACAAAACACTTCGAAACTTCTGCCAAATTTTTGTTTACAGTTCGTTGTGCAGGCTTTTGCACAGACGTATTCGGGGTCGACGGTCGATGCTGAAAATGCGTCGCGTTGGTATTTACGGCCACCAAGCAAACGACGTCTTTGAATCTGGAGCAGGGTCTGCAAGATGCGGGCTGGGCAGTGGAGAGACTGCGAAGCGATTAACACCATCACGTGGCATCACGCGTGAGGGGCTTCCAGCACAACGGCTTGTGCTGGGCAGCTCGTGCATGTGAGCCCTGTGGGTCGGAACAGCTGCTCAGTGAAATGCAGTGCAGTGCGTTGTTTCTTGTCGGATTGTACAGGAGCAGTCACGTAGCCAACACTGCGGCAGTCAATTTCGTCTTTATGTACTGGTTGACTGTGGTCGTTTGGATTCGGTTCTGTTTTCGTGTCTGGTTGGAAGCCCCAGCGGAGCCCCTGCATGCCTTTTGTTGGCCCCACTGCTAACTTTGAGCCTCATCTGGCTTGTCCGAGTACGTGAGCGTGGATCCCTGAGCATGTGGCTCCTTCTCCGCTAACCTGCAGATGCATGGTTGTTAAACAATCCATATTGTACACACTTAAACCTACATGTCGTCCGTCCAGACCCAAAAAACCGACCTAGCTTAAAACAACTTAGGCGGAGCGCGTTTGGCGTGCCACAATCATCGGCATCTCGTCAAAGCTTGAAAATGTCGGTCCCGCGTTTGGGCTTTTCGGATTTTAAGATGTGATGTAGCGATCCAAATGAGATGCTTTTCGGATGCCGGTGTTGGGTTGTCATGGGTTGGGTGGTTCACAGGTTTAGAAAATTTTCTTTGATGTTGATATGTTTGCACATGTCCTATGTAGAAGCCTGAGGTTACGCCTCTTGCCTGCCGATACCGAACTGTGAGACCTGGTTTGTCCGAGCCCGTTGCAAGCTCTCACAGAGACGAGAACCCAGAGACTCCAATAACCCTGAATTAAGGAATATACCTTAAATCATATTAGGGATCCTATAATTTAAGGTATATCCCTTAATTAAGGGATATACCTTAAATCATATTAGGAATCCTACTATAATTTAAGGTATATTCCTCAATTAAGGCAATCATATTAGGGATCCTACTATAATTTAGGGTATATTCCCTTAGTTAAGGGATCTTGGAGTCTCTGGGAAGCTCCAGGTCTCCTTTCGGCCTGCTTGGGGGACGTGCTCATCGTCTTGATGGCCCTGGTGCTCCCTGAAAAATGAAGATCGGGATGAAGTTTCGTTGTGGCCAAGGGTCATGTTCTGTTATTTCAGGATGTTTGTTGTCATGGTTCCTGCTACTTGCGCATTTTTCAGCCTTCGTGTTGTGATTGTTGACACCACGTCTGGTCTGCTCGGTTTGGTGCTGATGCTAATAGGCGTACCATTACTGTCAGCATTCTTGTTGTTGCTCGGAAGCAGACGGTCTGAAAGACTTGCGACAAGTGGGGATCGATATGCACATCTTGTCTTCAACATCAGAACGTCTTAGGCATGGACCATAACCAGTCGCAGGTGTATGGGCCCGTATGACAGCCTGAATCATATCTTACTCTTTTGACCGTCGTTGTTAACCTCGCCTAGTACTCCCGAGTGTGTGTGAATTCTCCAAGCCGCAAGCGTTTCAAGAACACAGATCATGTTTCGGCCAGCTGCAGGTGCAGCGACGACGAGTCATTGTTCGGGAGAGGTGCCCGAATGCTAGACCCAGAATCCGAAGTGCCGACTGAATCCGACAGCTCTGCACTGTGAGGCATGGTTTACATGCACAAAACCTCATGTGAGCTTGCTTACATACTAAGTTGCCGATCTCTGGACCGACAAAGCCGAACTTATCCACATTTGGCCGAAGTCCGCAGTAGAACGGACCTTGCAAAGAACATGCCTCCGCCGCCCCTAAGGCAAAACTGAAGCCCAGTGCCCGTTGTGAAGAATAGTATAAAGGCCAAATCTAAATCACAGTGCCCAAAATTCAAGGTTATACCCTTACACCTAAAAATTGAAGCCACCCCAAAGACACCCCAATGGAACACATGGTTTGACACCGAAGTAGCGGAAGACTGAAAATGGCAAAATTTTTGTCGATCTCAGATTCCTTTGGGTTTGCAATTTGCAAAGCCTTCATGCCCCCAGTGCTATGCCGTAGCTCCCACTGCAAGTCCGACAGAGACATGTGAACCAGGTGTAAACGTATCGGCCCCAGAGATCCTATCAATGCAGCACGCGCCCCCCCCCCCCCCCCCCCCNNCGCGCCCCCCCCCCCCCCGATTGCAATGTACTCACCGATCTCAAAGCGGGTATCTATGGATCTTCTTTCGAGTTGGCTGTCGGTTGTGGGGACTGTTTCCGGGGGAGAATTAGTCTGAGCCAAGCTGCGAGACTCACAAAACTAAACTGCTCCAAAAGCAGTCCCTCGGCAAGTTGCCATCGTCACGCCCCGGATACCCCTGGCTGCCCTTTTTTCGCCAAAAGGTGGACTCCAAAGGAAAAAGCGCGTCAGTTGCGGCGCTGGCGGCTGCGGAGCTTCCTGTTCTGGCTGCTGTGGCCTCTTGGCTCTGGCTCGGGGTTGAGGCTTCGGTGTTTTCTAGCGAGCATATGGAGCATTCCTTTCCTGGGTCGAGATTTTGGATGATTTGACAGCAGGCTCCTGCAGAGGCCACGCTCGGTAGGGAAGTCTTGCGTCGAAGTGGAGGTGAGAAATACGCTTGTAACGCAGTCGCTTTTTCTTCACATCGTGCCTGTAACTTCCTTCGGAACGAAGCTACAAACTCCTGCTTTGGGGGAAAGCCGAGTAAAACCGTCTCGCTGAGATCTGGATCCCCTTGTGCTTGCAGTTGGCCCTGCCAGGGCTTCTCTGCGTTCAGGGCGAGGTTGCTTTTAGGCATCCTGGTGCAGTGATCCTACACACCCAGTCCGAGAGTGAGTGCCGAAACCTCTGGCGGGCGCTGGCAGAGAAAAGGAAGGGGAGGGCTGCTGACGTGGAATGGTAAGTTCGAACTTTAGCATCGCCTGGAGTGGCGGATGTGTGCGACTGCATGCATTCAACCCTTTGGGCTCTCCACAGCCCCAGGCTTCTGGACTGCGGCCTTGCCGTCACCTACGTCCTGGTCTTCCTAGCCAACGTCAGTGCCACTGATGGCAGGAAGTGGATCGAAAGCACCTTGCCCAGACTTCGGATCACAAGATGTCAGGAACGGGTCGTTCAGCATGTCCGTTTCTGATGGGTGCCGGCCTTAGTATAGCATCCCACGCGTGGTCCGGTGTTGGCATTGGAAGGATTGAAAGTAAACCCATGTGCACACTGAGCGAGCAAAGCCTCCGTCGCTACAACACATAATCGTCGGTCCATGCTCCTGCCAGTCTTCTGAAGCGTGCGTAGTTCCAGGCGAGCGTTCGGGGCGAGCGTTCGGGGCGGAGGCGAGAAGACGCCTAACATAGCAAACAAAGGCAGCTGGATCCAGACTTGCGCACGGTGGCATGGCTCTTTCGCTGACACGCATCGCCATCATGACAATCAGCATGATATGTCGAACTGCACTGAGGTACCGGCATGAGTCTCTTGCAAGATCTTGTCCTGAAGCCCTTCTACCTGGTGGCTGGGCGCAGAACTTTACCCACAAACCCTAAAATCCAGCATCGGAAATCCTGGGCTTCGAACCCTAAGCTCAAGCACAGTAAGCAAAATCTCTACACCTCCGCTCAGAGCTCACAGAAGATTGTCGCTCATGGCTAGGCTTTTGGCTACGGCACCGTCGCCAGCATCGTGCTTTGCTGCAGCTCTCGCGTCAGGGAGCCCACCGCACACGGGTTGCCTGAACTCCGAAAGCTCTACACGAACTCAAGCCCTCAACCCTGGACTTCAGACGATACTGGCACCTGTCTCCATTCCACCCCTGGACTCCACAGTCAGACTGCTAGTCCATTCATCGCCCTTACGCCGAACCGAGATCTCGCAAGTAAGATTGGCGAATAGGGAGTTGGGAGTCTCACCTGTTTCTGCACTTGTGTAGGACCCCTCTTTCGTGTACAGGTAGCTGAGTGTTGTGTGAATACCGCAGCCGTTTAGAAGTAGCTTGAGCTGAGTCCAAGCGTGCTAAAAAAGCTTTGCATGGTAGCTGAGCTGCCAGTGGACCTTTGAGGCTGGCGGCTGGTCGCTTCGACCTTAGCCCGGAGGAGGCAAGGTCGGCCCGTGGATGTGCGGTCGCCGTGCCGTTTGCCTGAGGAGGGGGCAACGGTTGCAAAGGGCCCGAACCGGGCGAGGCTGGTGCTGAAGCACAGTGCCCTGAGGAAGTTGCAAAGGCACTCCCGCGTGATCGGGACTTATTTGCAGGACTTCCCGAGGGCGCTTTTGAATCGCTTCTAAGAAGCAGACGCCGCATGCCGATATTTGTGCCCGGCTGCAGCAATGCTCCGAGGCAAGCCCAAACAGCCTGCGAGGCCAGATCCTCCAGGCCGCCCAGGCGGTGCACGAAGCCGCCGATAATAAGGCGAGGGATTCGTCGAAGACAGCGACGAACCGCCGAATTTTTACGGGCCACAGCCTCAAGTTCCGGGTTTGGCTAGAGGCTAGCCGCCGGAACCGGCCAGACGCGAGCAAGGCCGACGCCCTATATAGCCACCGAATACTACGGCATTGCGGCTAATCGGCGCGAAACAGCTAGAAGCTGTCTTCGCGAGGAGGACCTCTTCTGGACAAGGTCTATTGGAGGGTCACTCGGAATGCGCGCAACACTGAGGTGATCCACCGTGAGCCCCCGATTGATGTGAACTTCAGCAAGAGCGTGCTCCATGCTCGCATTCTCGTTCCGAGGGATACGGTTACCGAGCTTTGGCACGAGCCGGGATCCTCTGTGAAGCGACAGGCCGAAGTGAGTTATTCGGATGAGCCCACAAGCGTGTCACCTGCATTACCCGCAGAGAGAGGAGAGAAGCGAAGAGCCGAGTCCGCGGGACTTTCCCCAAGAGAAGACCGTGATCCTGCGCTGGATGCTTTCGACATGAATTTGGTCGACACCGAAAAGCGTCTAGACCTTGTATTGCATGAGGAGAGAGAGAGAGAGAGAGAAAACTTTCGAGGTTCTGGTGCTGCAGGGCTGCAGGGCTCCGAAGAGACGATAGGTATACCCGAGGTGGTTCAGGAAGAGGCTGAAGGAATCTTTTGTGCTGACCTTTCGGAAAACCTTTTAGACGAGTGTGTTCCGGGAGGCGAGGAAAGCTGAGATAGAAACGATCAGCACCATGAAGGTGTGGGAGAAACTTCCTTGCAAGGACCTGCCAGCAGGCAGAAAGCTTATCGGTACTCGATGGGTTGATGTGAACAAGCAAGACGACGAGAAGAACCCATTGATCGATCGCGGCTTGTTGCGAAAAAGATCAAGCGGTCCAGTGGTCTTGATCAGTTCTTCGCAGCTATGCCGTCGCTTGGCCCTATGAAGGCCCTCATGTCCACGGCTGTCGCCCGGTCGCTTCCGACTGAGGCCGGGAAGTGCTTTACTTCGAGCTTCCTGATAAAGGAGCCAGGAGAGGATGTGGTAGGAAAGCTCCTGCGGAGTGTGTGTGGCACCCGGGACGTTCTGGGTCTGATACAGGGTCTGTCCAACTGTCCAACCCACGTGTGTTCTTTCGTCCGGGCAAGCAGCTCCTGGTGAGTGTCCATGATGACGACTTCACCAGCTGTGGGCCACTGAGTTGTATCCAGTGGTTCCATGCGGGGCATCCTGGGACCTCCAAGGAGCCCAACCAGGCACTCAGACTATCCGTACCCTTAATCGGACCGTACTGCGAGCCTGACCAAAGGCATGCAGATTTGGTCTGGTAAAGGACTGCACGGGCGGCAAGGTCAAGACTCCTGTGATGCAGGAGAAGTTGCTGCCTAGTTCTGACCCTGTGAATACACCCCGTTGGAGGCTGCTGCCTACCGCAGCTTGTCGATGCTTGCCGCCTACTTGGCGCAAGATCAACCCGACTCCCAGGTTGGTATGCGCACCTTAGCACAAGGACTGCAGAACCCGAAGGTGAGGCAAAGGCAGCTCCTGAAGCGCGTGGCCATTTATCTCCAGTATCGATCTCGGCTGGTGCAGCTCTTCCGGCACTGCAGCGAGCGGGGAGAAACCGTCGATGTAGTCAGATGCGGATCATGCAGGTTGCATTCGCGCAAGAAAGTCCGTTTCTGGAGCGCTAATGTTGGGTAAGACCTGCCTGCGATCTTGTTCCAAGGGCGAGGCGGTGAGCGCTTTATCCTCCGGAAAGGTCAAATTCTATGGCTTAGTCAGTGGGACCTCGCAGTTGCCGGGTGAAGCTTCTGCCCTGGCTGACTACGGGCGGTGGCCATCGGTATGGCTTAGATGCGAGGCCTCGGAAAGGCCAAACATATCGAAACGCAGTTCACGTGGGTACACGAGAGGCTCTGGAGGAAAGACTACGTTATCCATAAACGGCGCACTTCGGAAATGTTGGCCGTGGTGCTGACGAAAGTAGTGCCTGAGAAGACTATGTAGAAAGCCTTGAAAGGTATGGGTTTCAAGTTCATGTCTGGCAAGACGGACGTACCGCTTGTTGCTTGAAAACAGCTTGAGCCGCAACTCGGGAGGCGTGCAGTTGTGTAGGACCCGTCTTTTGTGTACAGTTACAATTAGCTGTGTGTTGTGTGAATACCGCAGCCGTTTAGAAGTAGCTTGAGTTGAGTCCACGTGTGAGCTCTGCACTTTCACTTACGGGCCAGGCTTTCCCAGGCTCCGCGGCGGGTTTGAAGGAAGGGCTCCCAAGATTACATAGAACCTGGACAACCCTGACTACTGAAGCTAGATCACTGTGAATAAGCTTCGCTCAAGTTCCAAACTCCGGACCGGCACCAGGAAACATTAATGCCTGATTTGAGACAGTCACATGGAGCGTTGCCATCGAAATCGGGTGCCGCTTGTGAGGCATGTGGGGTGTTTAGTGCTTGACCATTTCGACTTTCCCTCCAGCGCCCGCAAGCTACGAGACTCTGGTGACTCTGGTTCCTAGCAGTTTGCGGGAGCCACCCTTTGATCACTGGTAGGAGGTCAATGGAGGTCAGGGATGGCATCCAATTTAGTTGTTTCCATCCTCTGCGTGCGGCCTAAACCTAACCTGCAGAAGCCTTGAAGGAGAAGGTGACAATTCAATGGCAAGAAGCGGAACAAGTGGCCGTCGCCAGGGAGAACCATGAGGCATCCAAAGTTTGGGGTTCAGTGATTCTTTAGGGTTCGCGCCGCAAGTTGGGAGAACCTGTGAGCTCAGAGTTTGGAGATGTCTGAAGGGTTGCATTCAGACGCAGGGGGCTGGGGTGCAGCAATTTGTTTGGTAGTATAGGAGCCTTAATGATTTCCTCTGGTATTTTGGGGCTTCCTTATTGCAATTATCGGACATTATGCCGTAAAACCCTTTTTAACTGTTAAGGCTCTACATTACCTTAGATTTGGAAGCGGAGGCAGATGAACTCGGACATGCTCTGCGCCGTGCCTGGGAAGTGGAGAGCATTGACAGTGCGAAGCTCGTGAGAAACCAAATTCATGTTGAAAGCTTATGAGTTCAGCTCAAGCTTTCCGAGTCCCGAGCAGATCCAGTCGCTGACATGGAAGCCTGCTGGAAGGGGGCCAGCTGGGACTATCGTGTTGCCCTGCCTCCAGTTGCCACGTTTTTGCATCTAAGCCGCTGGCGCTGGCGTTTCCACAGGCGTCGGAAACCCCCTCGTCCTAAATCCGAAGGTTCTCTATGACGGCAGGAGGGCAGGAACAAGGATGAAGACACAGGTTTTAACCCTACACAATTGCAATTTCTGCATCAGCTGCAGCTGTGACGCTTTTTGAAGCTCAGAACCATCTAGTTGACGAAGAGGGGTGGCCGCGCGAAGCCGGAAGCCCAAGTGTGAGTTGTGAGCTCCACGTCCGCGGCACTGACCAAGAATTTCTGATCAACGCTGTGTTTTTTCCAGACGGTCCTTTTCAATACAGTACTCCCAGTCAGGAGATTTCGCAGTAGACTTCAGAACAGTATCTCTTCGTATCTTTCTTTGCCTGTTTTCGGATCATGTGTGCATTTTAAGTGGTGGTCGTTGCATGTGGCTGGAAGAAATCAGACTTGTCACAGCAGCTTTGACCTGTGCAAATAGAAACGGCTGTAGCTTCCTGTCTCTGCTCTGGATGTCCAGTACGGTCTTCATAGCTCAACTGCACAACCCTCTTCTCAGAGAATTGTGAGTTACGCAATGGACAGTGACACTCGTAACGCGAAAACGCTGCCCGCCTTCAGTGCTTTTAGAAGGACTGTCTGAGTGAGTTCATGTCGGATCAGGACACGACACGGCGTTGTAGTGGCATGTGCCCATGCACCCCAGCTGTGTAGTCAGCCGGGGGTGATTGTCACAAGACTCAGATGTCGGAAAATGCTGCGAATGTAAACCACACCACAAAGGGGTGGATCGTAAGGACTTGAAAAGCTGCTCGACTTTCCAGCATGCGCAAATCCGCACGGAGGCTCTAGAAACAATTTTCCAGCCTACCTAAAAGCAGCTAATTTCCTACGCCGTCTTGGAGTCACCACATGAGCCTTGAAGCATGCACCTTCCACACTGGGCCGCCAGCGGTTGTTTTCCTTGCGGTTGGCGGTGCGGGGGCGCAGCTTTTTTCCCAGGCTATTCAGGATGCATCGGTGTGGTGCGGACTTATCATCAGGACGTTCTTCAAACGGAAAGCTTGTTGAGGATTGTCAGGGTCTCCTCAGAAGGACTTTGGATCAGCCTGCAGCAGCAGGAGTCGCAGCCCCAGCCTCACCGGCAGCAGCCACAGCAGTCACAGCAGCCACAGCAGTCACAGCGGCAACAGCCGCAACAACAGCAGCTGTAGCTGCAGACGCAGCAGTAGCACCACCCGCTCTCGAGGCAGACTTGCATCAAGCATTGCTTCCATGTGAAGGATCTGGGGTCTTAAAGTCTAAAGTTTAGGGGAGCCCCCCCTTTGCCAGCACAAACTTTCGGCAACCGCAGGTGCCGAAATATGAAACTAAGTAGAGACCAGACCTGTTTCGATCTCTTGCTGCTTAGGGTACTCGCTTGCATCGGTGCCTCCTCTGAGCTAGCGGGTAGCTAGCGTTTCGTCATTGCCAGACCAAGTGAGCAGAAGGAATGCCGCGGAGTTCTCCAAGATGCTGGCAGGTGTTTAAGGGCTTTTCCACGGCTGAAGGATTGTCGAAGGGCTTCGTGACTGTAAAGTGCCATGGGGCTCAACTGATCCGAACCTTGCACTGTATGATGAAACCACGGTGTGCGAGACTCGGCACTGGGAACATTGATTCTGAAACCCCGATGCTCGTAGCTGTTCGGTTTTGAAGACTGAACCTTCGGATGGACACAATGGCCTGAAGATTCTGATCCACTCGTATGCCGTCCCATTCACGTCGTATAAGCGTAGGTGTGCAGCTTGGATGATGTACAAGCTCTGTGACGCATGCCTTCTGTGCACCTCGGGTTGTGTGCCACCGGCTGTTTGAGCCGGTTAGCGGGCAGCGGTCATCATGTGCTCCTCCCAGGCAAGAGAGAGTCCTCGTGTGAGCCCCTAGTCGACGTGTTGTATGATTTTGGTTTCGAGAAAGCATCGATGCCTCCTTTTGACACTGAAATGATCCCTACCTACGACCTCGCACCTTTAGAATACGTAGTGCGGGCAGGCTCGCCCTCTCAGATGTGGTAAGTTTAGGAACCACCTGACCATGGCCCAAAGCCGTACACGCCCTTTACACCAAGGACCGCCAATCCTACGCTGCAGAAGCATTGAATAAGCAACAGCCTAAAGACCCAGACCCTAAAGCTCAAATATAGTCGAAAGTCGAAAGCCGTTGAGCCAAAACCCCTCATAGTCCCCATATCAAGTTTCCTTATAGTTTAATCTGCGCTTAGACTCCGTATCAGCCTCCACGTCGAGCCAGTGGGCTCGGCATCGGACAGGGTCTCCGCGGAGGCCGTGCTGCGGCAAAGCAGAACTGCTGGTGCCAGGGGTTGGGAGCACAAGGTGGCGCGGTTGGGGCGATCCCATTCATGTCGGCTTTCCCAACCTCGCCCTCCCACCGAAAAGCATCGATAAGACGGCGTGTCAAGTTTGTATGATCATGGCGATGATTGGAAGTTTTTGCTTGGCAATCGTGGTAGTGAGTGATACGGGTCGTGGTGTTGTTATGATGAATATCACCAAGTTGAACGAAGAGTGTTCTTGTCATAACCTGTTGTTCATACCATGAATGGCAACAAGTATTCCTGTGACTACTATGATCAGCTAGGCAGTAAAGGTTATCGCAGGTCCCGGTGTCTTCTTTCGGTGAAAGAGGGCCGAGCCCAGCCGAGCTCGGGCTTAAGGCATGTGCTGAGATCCCTTGCCTTTGTAGCCTTTTCCTGGTTTGGGGCTGGATTTCGGATTTCCTCCAGGGCTTCGGAAATGCTGCATCCCTCAGGTTTAGGGTCAAGGGTTCTGGCTGTTTCAATGGCCCCCCGTGGTCTCTAGCTTGATGTTTGGGTTCGGGCTTGCAACCGCGTAAAATTCCTGGTGCCGGCGGCCGGCGGCGCTTTCGGCGCTTTGACATTTAAGACGAAGGGCCCGAGGTTCCTTCGAGCTTCGGGTTTAGTGATCACTGGACACATTGAGTAGTGTAAGCTGCGCAAAACGACGAGAACAAGCAGACCCCGGAAGGGCACGCCGTGAGAATTCCGTAGTGATATCTGGCAGTCTTCAATCGAGTCTGGTTATCAGCAAGATGGTACATATGATTGGTCAAATTGTGCTGCTACTGCACTGTCTGGCATTCTTATCACTGCTGCTGCTGCTGCTGCCGCTGACGCTGCCGCTGCTGTTGCATGGTTGCCACTAATCAGGACTGTTATTGTTGTCTCAACTGTTGTCAACAGTTACTGGTTCTGACGCAATTCTCACGGGCTTGGATGCGCATTCTCCAGTTTGCTCAGCCGGGTAAATCCTCGGGCCCCACGCATTGAAGCAATCTTTTAGAGTGCTCCTCCTCGACGCAGCTGCTTGGCGAAGGGCAGGCGTTCTTCGGATAGACATCGTAGTTCAGACTGTTCTTGGTGCGTCCGCCGTGTGTTCGTAGTTGCGGTCATAGTCGCCTTTGGCAGTCGTGGAAATGCGGCAGAAGTTTCAATCACAAAGCCTGGCTCGTAGCAGTGCTACCGTAGAGATTTAATAGCGCATTCCGCGTGCGTGCAAGTTGTCGTTACATTTCCGCGGTTGTAGTTTCACACGCCTGGGCTCTTTCGCTCCCATGCAGCGAGTTTTCCACACGGTGTGCTCCATGCCCAAGGGGGCTATATGTGAAATCTCCATGCCAGGAATCAGTCTTGCCATGTCGGAAATACATCCTGAGCAAAATTCGCAGAGTGTCGAGAATACAGGGACCGAGAGATGACACGTGGTATCAGAATCCTCCATGTTATGGCGAGTGTCGCCAAGTAGCTCGTGCCTCAAGGCCTTCTGACTGTGTCGGCCCATGTATTTATCTGCAAGATCACTTGGATGGTCAGACCCAGAGACAACAAATCGCTTAGCATGAGACAGTTGCCAAAAGCGCGAATGTGTGGCCGCCGTCCAGAAGTCCAACGTCAAGATTGCCACTGCTGCTGTTGCTTTTGTTGTGCGATTACGGCGACGACGACAGTGATGACGACATGTTGCCGGCACCGGGACCAAACAGCTGTAGTTTGGTCGAAGTTTGGTTCAGAAAGTGCGTGCAGTAGACTAAGCAGAGTAGTGTTCCGCCGGCATGGTGCGTCGCCCTGGCTCCAGCATGATTTGGGGATCTTTGCCCGGTAGGGTGTCCGAATTCTTGCCTCTCCCTTAAGAAAGGGTCGAGGAGACTCTTTGCGCGCTCGCCAGCTGCTGGGCCCGGCATGGAGGTGGGCCGAAGTTGGCAGTGTACACCCCGGAATTTCAGAGGCTACTGCGATGTTTGATTTTGCGGGGCTTCGAGGCCCAAGCTCCCCTTCTGAAGCCCCTGCCTGCGGTTCGCAGGATCTGGCTAATCCGGTTGACGGTGTTGCGAGAGGGTCCTGTGATGAAAAAGGCTAGGCCCACTACCTTGCCGGGCTGCCATCCCGGCAGAATCTTGTTCAAATCCTCTTGGATCAAGATCTCCAACCAAATCATGATGCACTTGATTGGAGTGGCGCCCTAACCGTCTCGATCAGACTCCAGTGAAGTACAAGTCGTATTTTAACGCCGCGTGAATATGTAGAACTTGGTTATTGCATGTTTGATGATGAACCTGATTGATTCCAAAATAGTTGTCCAATAATTGTGAATCATAGCAGGGCTGAAGAGCTTATCAGTCTGCAAGCTCTCAACGATGGTAGTTTGACTGAAACCTCTTATCCTGCTAAGTACATATCCATAGTTTGATGCGCACACTAGTATAACCTGGTTGAATGAGCTGGTTCAGACATTGGCAACTCAACCACATGGGCCGAACCAACTGATAATCTAGTCGTGGCGCCACCCCTTTGAACTAAGTGTTTGGTAGCGTGCGGGTCCTTGCAGAGAATCAAGTCTCGATCTGGTTGTGCTCAAGCTCGGGTTTGAACTGTCGTCTAGCTTGGGGCACTCCTTGGAGACAAAAAAAGTCCTACTATTCTCATTATTATTATTATTGTTAATATTATTATTAGTATTCTTATTATTATTATTATTATTATTATTAGTATTTGCAGTATTATTATTTATATCATTAATTTGGTTGGGCCACTTGCGTTGAGGAGACCCTGGCGCATCGTTCGGGGGCCAATGCAAGTCAGGAGACATGTATGTCGGGGGTCAGGCAAGGTAATGATCCAGCCCAAGGGCAACTCCACAAAGTTGGCTTGTTGTTTACGCTTGGATTCACTACCTCTCCTGCGGTATTCTTCATCCTGAACCTCGCAGTCCTACGCCCCAATCCATCTAAACTACGTGGTGCCTTGCCTGCCTTGTGCGAGTGGGAGTCGAAACTTTCCAAACCCCAAGTCCTTTAATGCTTCCGACCTGAAGACCCCAAGCCCTCTGGCCGAGAGCGAGCGCTAACAAAAATCAGTCGGCGCACGGATGGGGACAGTGTTGCCCACTGCTTGTCTTGTAGCCGGCCTTCTACTTGCTAGCTCTATGATTCGATTCTATGGTGCTCCGACTGGTTGTTTTGGTTGGGGGTACTCAGCACTCTAAACTTCTGAACCAAGTACTGGCATCCTCAGCAAATCGAGCTGAAAAGAAAGACACCCTGTTTCATTTGTGAACAGCTCCTTCGTCATTGAGTTCTGTAGCCAGGCCCCAGCATCGTTGCCGGAGCTCGTGCGTTTGGTCGCCAGGCCCGCCTCAGTGCGTCACACTCCTGGAGATTCCATCAAGTGGTCAAGTGGTGTAACAAGGCTCTGAAGATTCAGGGGATTTCTGGCTTAGAAACTATGAAGGAGCTCTTGGGAAGGGAACGCACAGACGCTTGGGCTCAGAGGAAGCGAGGGGAGTCGAAACCTTGGAAGGCTTGAACCCAAACGGTCCAAAACCCTACATCCCAACACAATGAAAAGGGACAGCCGTCTGATCCGGACCGTTCCTGGCAGGTACAAGCTCGATGCGGCCGGGGCCCCTGCGCTTTCGGCTTTCTCCGGCCTTCATATGGCTGACATTACTTTAAGGATGCGAAACTCTGGGAGTTATAGTTATTGTATATTCCTTCTTGCGGCGATATTGAGAAGGAGCAGTTGGAGCGAACGTTGGAACTTGCCCACAACCAAATCACAAAGCTGCAGTACGCTATCGAGATGTTGGGAGAGGAGCCGTCGCTAGCAGGTGCCCCCTATGCAAGTCTCGGGTTGCTTCTTTCTTGGCAACATTGCTTCTATAGCTCTTTTTGCTTGAAGTGAATCAGCATCCCGAGCCTCATGGGGTCGATGTGGTGTGGTTCTGTCTTGGCGCTGCTGGCTCTCGCCGGGGCGTCCAACATCTCATGCCTGGATTCCTTCGGCTCCGTCACCCCCTTGTCAGCCCAAGACAAGCATTGCCTTCTGCCTGAGCTGGATGCATTGGTTGACTCGCCCCAACGCTTCTACTTCGAGAAGATTGGGGTTGTGGTAGGCTATGAGATCTTGTCCAAGCTCGGGGAGATTGAATTCACCTTCGCAGTGCCAGCTACGGGTTGGTTCGGCTTCGGGATCTCAGAAGTAGGGAGCATGATTGGAGCCGACATGTTGATCCTGGAGGATGGACCGAATGGATTCGAAGTCACCGACTCCTATTCCCACGGCTTCGAGCGTCCTGTGGCCGACAAGCTTCAGAACTGGCAAGCCCAGAGCATCACTCACCTGAGCCTGGGGGAAACCTGTTTGGGACAGACGGTGGTGACCAAGGCCGTGCTCCGACGAATGATGAAGACGTGCGATGCCGAGGATGAGGACCTAGGGCCTCAGTGGATGCAGAACTACTTCGTGGCTGCGTACGGTGATGGGCGCATGAACTACCACGGCCAGGTGCGCGAGACCACTTCACACTACATGTACTTACCTGAGCCCCTCTTGCATGAAGAGACGCTTGAGGCTGTGGAGGTGGACGTTCTGGGTCCAAGCATCCGGGTACCTCAGGGGCAGACGAACTTCTGCTACATCAAGGTGGAGATACCTTGTGACATCAAGGTTCATGCCTGGGCCGTCTTGAACACAAGAAACCTTCATCACATGCATTTGGGGCCCTTGGAGCCAGAGCTGGATTTCCCAGAGCAATACCAGTGTTCAAGTTACAGTCCAGGCCAAGTGTCCCTCTCCTGGGGCCTTGGAGATGCGAAGGAAGTCCTGCCAAACAGCCTCTTCATCGAGATGAAGGCTGGCACTTACGTCCTGGAGGCTCACTTTGAGAACCCTGCAAAAGACGCCTTTGACATCCAGACTGGCTTCCGCCTGTGGGCCGCCAAGTCTGATGTGTCTGCTGACAAGGCGGTGGGTATCACGAGCATCAAAGGAGTCTGGAGAGATGTGCTGCCGGCGAACCATATTGTCCAGAAGAGCTTCGTGTTGACACAGGCGTGCACAGACACCCTTCCAGCACATGGAATCACCGTGGTTGGTGCCTTGGCACACATGCACTACGCCGGCAAGTCCTTGAAGGCTTACCGCACGAGGCGCGGACGCACCGAGATGCTCTTCGAGCAGCGGGGGTTCGACTTCAATCGTCAGGCCGTGATCTACAAATCTTTCAAGCTTATGCCCGGGGATGTGATCTCATGGACATGCACGTGGGACTTGAGGAACCTGGGTGACAAGGTGTATGGCTTGAGCTCTGAGGATGAGATGTGCCAGATCTTCCTGGCTGCCAACCCTCCACTGCCCTTCGCACGAGCCACGGTGGGCATCCTCAGCCAAGGAGATGAGTACGGCGTTTGCGGCACGCGTGCTTGCTTTGACTTGGAGGAATGTTCGACGCTGGCACCACACAGCGCCGAGTTCCACAAGATTGAACTTCAGCCTTTGACAACCGAAGAGGGTCCGCAGCGCGAACTCTGTGAGTTGCTTGTGGAGGCAGAGGCGACTCCGCCTGTGAACAACTGGATCTTTCCTCAGAGCATCTCGGTAAGAACCAGTTGATCGTGTTTCAGCAGCTCTTTTGCCACCCAGTGTTCAGTTGTGATAAGCTTAACAGCGGTGTGCTTCTCCGCCTGCGCGCGCCACACAGGCATGATCGTGCATTTGGGCATCATCTCGGTGACCTACAAGCTTGTGACACTGCTCTACAGTCGACTTGAGGGTCGCGTGGATGTCCTCAAGAGATCCTTGAACTGTGAGTTGGCTTTGCTTGGAGTGATTGTGGGCACGCTCATCGCCTGTCATCCGGAATGGTTCCTGTCTGAAGCTGAGAAGGTCTACTCGGTGAACGAGGCCATTGGTAGCTCCTTCTGGTCTTTGAGTGCCTGTGCAGATTTAGTGGGCAGCGCCTATGTCTTCGAGCTCGTTGTCAGAGGCAGCAACGAATGTTTGCGCTGGGATTTGGCCGTGCACCACTCGGCAACCATTGCCATCATTGGCATGTTGCGCAACGCCTTCGCCTACGAGTATGCGCCGCAATTCTATGCAAGCATAGCAGCCTGCCTGCTCTTGCATGTTGTCACGGATGTTCCCGTGTTGCTCATCTTCGCCCTTCGTGGTGTCTCTGCTGACAAGACTTGCTTCAAGAGGAGCCTTTTCGTGGCAGCATGGATCAAGCTCGCAATGCATACGGCGATCAACATTTGTTCCGTCCTTCTTTTCGTCTCAGGCTCTAAGACCTTTCGCCTGGCGACAGTAAGCTTCGCTTCTTGGCTGAAGACGGGCTACAACAATGATCGTCCTCTTGCAACAGACGCAATGCGACAGTTCGATTGGGCCGCAGTGCTCCATGTCGGCATTCCAGTATTGGTGTCCATCCTCTTCCTTACGCAGTTGTGGACGACGTGGGTGCTGCTGCGCGTGAGCCGCACAGAGGCTGAGAGTGCTGAGACTCCTGCAGATGCACACGGTAAAGACACACCAGCCCAGACTGAGTCTGTGAACTGAGGGTCATGCAAAACCCAATGATGTTCGGGATTGCGCGGCGCAACAGGACGTCGGTTAGATGTTTTGATGCGTCCCGCAACAGAACGTCGGTTAGATGTTTTGATGCGTCCAGGAGAAGATCTCTGAACCGAGTTGCTTCTCATTCACTTTTTGTTTTTAATGCTTTTGGGGGTCAGTGGAAAGACCCCCGCAGCGTTCCTGTTCTTTTGTCGCAGGAAGCAAGACGCGAGGATGGAATCCCGAGCTTGCAACATGATTTCTAGGGGGCTTCTGCTTGAGGGGCCCCACATCCTTCCTCGCGTGTATCACTATGTTTTGCCTGCTTGGGCAGGTATCGACATGCGGCGACCGCATGCTTCATTTTCATCGAAAGCCTTCTTGGGGGCAGGCACCCCGTGCTGGGACGCGAGGCGGTTTGCCGCCACGCACCAATCCATGAGAATCACTTAGATTTTAAGAGAAGCAGTGGGAAAAGTTGCCCATCTCGCGCTGGACACTTCCATGAGCATCCATGAGCCACTGTTGCCTGAGCATTCTACATCAGCACAGCCTTGCGAATGCCTGCTTTCATGTAACTACACCCAACGTCAGCTACGTGGAAGTTGGAAGTTTGAAAAAATAAGGGCCCCGAATATCGAAGCCCAAGTAGTAGGAGCCTGATTTTTTGGACCCTTCAGATACGGTATTCAGTTTTCGGAAACTCTCAGCTCAGGTGTGCTCGAACGTGCTGCACACACTTCGCGACTGGGAGCAGCAGAGGTTGGACAAGAAGTGGTTTCCTCCATGGTACTGGTTGTCCTGTCCTTGAGGTTGTAGGGTGTAAGGTTTACGGTGCAGGGTTTAGGGTTTAGGGGTTCCGGGCGAGAGAAGCCTGCTGCAAAAAAGGGTTTAGGGGTGAGCCTGCTCCAACTCCGGGCGAAGTGGAAAGCCTGTTGCAAAAGGCCCTCACCCCTACATTCCAGACCCTAGACCCAAACCCCGAAACCCTAAACAATTGATGCGCAGAGGGGGTTCTGTTCTAACAGCCGTGCGGGCCCTGCATGTGTGACCTGCCAGCATCATAAGAGCAACGGTTGTAGTTGCATTGGCAGTCATAGCAGCAACAACATCATAGACTCGTAGATGCACGGTAAACATGCAGGTGATCGACGTCGCACCAAGTACTACTAGTGGTGCTGCAAAAACTAGTAGGTGTAAGTCTACATACACACTGGTAGAAAGCATGTCAACAACCACAAACTACATGCCGCACCACAGACAAACCACATGGACGACAACAACACCGCGACTACGCACCAGCGCGGTCATGCAGTTTCCAGTGTGGCAGTACAGTACAAAGTTCACCATCGTCAAATCATCTCACCAAATCAGTGTCATCACCATCATCATGAACTTCACAATACAACATTATATCACAATCATCTTCGTCATCATCGCCACCATCATCGTCATCATCATCATCGTCATCATCATCATCATCATCATCATCACCATCATCATGTTGGTCATCATGGTCATCGTCATGCACGAAGATATCCTGGCGATATGTAACATCGTCTGGGCCAAGGCTGCGGCCGACAGATGGGTTAGACAAATGCACTATCAGCGTGAAGCTGTCCTGGACAAAACCTTGACCGCTTCGGGTTGAGGCTTCAGTTTTCTACGCACAGGTTTGAGGTTTAAGGACTGGGTTTAGGGGGTAACGCGGTGAAGTCTCAGAATTGAACTCTCACATACGTGGGTAGAGCTCCATGAGAATCTGTTTCTGCAGGTCTTCCGAACGCCAAGATCTGACTTACGGGAGCAGATCTCTGTGAGCTGGTGTTTTGCCTCGGTTTTTTTGTTGACGGCCAGAGCTCTGGCAGGATTATCAGCAGAGCGTTTCGACTTGTGGCCGTTCCCCAGCACCAATGGTCCATGCTCTGACAGACCACCGAGACGCGGAAGGCCATGTAGCGGCTGCATCGAAACAAGGACGCCCGCTCCCTGAAAAAGCTTTGACGAGGAATGCCGCAATCCTGAAAACCAGGTACCTTACCACACAGAAAAGAGGGAACCTGGTCAGCCTGGAGCAGCGGAGCTGCCCAAGGCCGACTCTGCACAACTTTCGGGTGGAGTGGTCCTCCACGAGCATGACCGTGCACATCGATGAGGACACATACACTCAAGCCATTGCTGGAGCAGGCGAACATGCCCTTTTCTTTGTTCGAATCTTCGCGAGCACAGAGCCATCCAGACGACTTCAATCTAGTGCCACTGGCCACGCTAGTGCAGCTCACCTCGGCCATCAACTGCAGTCGCTGCAGCTACAGATGTTCTTTAGTCGATGGCCAGTGCTCTCGCTGCGTTGAATGTCATCAATGGTTTCGCGTCATTCTTATAACTGCTGCTGCCGCTGCTGCTGCCGCTGCTCTTGCATGGTTGCCACTGATCAGTACTGTTATTGTTGTCTCAACTGTTGCTAACAGTTGCGGGTTCTGACGCAATTCCCACGGGCTTGGAAGCACATTCTCCAGTTTGCTCAGCTGGGTAAATCCTCGGGCCCCATGCGTGGAGCAATCTTTAAGAGTGCTCGTGCACGTGGTAATTATCAGAATCCTCTATCTTATGGCGAGTGTCGCAAAGTAACTCGTGCCTCAAGGCCTTCTGACTGTGCCGGATCATGTATTTGTCTGCAAGATCACTTGGATGGGCAGACCCAGAGACCGCAAATCGCTTAGCATGAGACAGTTGCCAAAAGCGCGAATGTGTGGCCGCCGTCCAGAAGTCTATCGTCAAGCCACTCGTTGCGACTGCTGCGGTTGCTTTTGTTGTGCGATTACGGCGACGATGACCGTCATGTAACTTGGTCGAAGTTTGGTTCATAAAGTGCGTGCAATAGACCAAATTCATAAGCTGCAGAGTAGTGTTTCGCCGGCATGGTGCGCCGCCCTGGCTCCAGCGTAATGTACGGATCTTTGCCCGGTAGGGTGTCCAAATCCTCCGGATCGAGTTGCAGTCTCTCCCTTAGAAGGGTCGAGGAGACTCTCTGCGCGCTCGCCAGCTGCTTGGGCCCGGCATGGAGGTGGGCCGAAGTTGCAGCATACACCCCGGAACTTGCATCGCTTCTCGCGCCAGAAAGGCATTGAGCCATGAAGGGTTCAGAGGCTACTTCGATGTTTGCGAGGCTTCAGAGATCTTTAGAGCCCTTTTCGCGCCCGCCTGCGCCCCCCAGAATCTGGCTAATCCGTGTTGGGGTTCGCTTTCGAACGAGGGGGGTCCTCTGATGCAAAAGGCTAGGCCCAAAAGTTCACAAGAAATACCATCCCGGAATGATGTTTCACTATGAACCTGTCAAGCCCAGATTTGTTTGCAGGACCACATTGCCTGTTGCATGGGTCAACCATCAACACATGTGTGTCTCTCGCCGTCCCTTCTTTGATAGAGCTCGGCTGGACTACTTTGCCGGACTGCGATCCCGGCTACTGATCCACCGCCCGCGCAACTCCACTAAGTTGGCTTGTTGTTTACGCTTGGATTCACTACCTTTCCTGCCGTATTCTTCATCCTGAACCTCGCAGTCCTACGCCCCAATCCATCTAAACTACGTGGTGCCTTGCCTGCCTTGTGCGAGAGTGGGAGTCGAAACTTTCCAAACCCCAAGTCCTTTAATGTTTCCGACCTGAAAACCCCAAGCCCTCTGGTCGAGAGCGAGCGCCAACAAAAATCAGTCGGCGCACGGATGGGGACCGTGTTTCCCACTGCTTGTCTTGTAGCCGGCCTTCTACTTGCTAGCTCTATGATTCGAGTCTATGGCACTCCGACTGGTTGTTTTGGTTGGGGGGTACTCAGTACTCTAAGCGTCTGAACCAAGTACTGGCATCCTCAGCACATCGACCTGAAAAGAAAGACACCCTGTCTGATTCGTAAACAGCTCCTTCGTCATTAAGTTCTGCAGCCAGGCCCCAGCATCGTTGCCGGAGCTCGTGCGTTTGGTCGCCAGGCCCGCCTCAGTGCATCACACTCCTGGAGATTCCATCAAGTGGTGTAAGAAGGCTCTGAAGATTCAGGGGATTTCTGGCTTAGAAACTATGAAGGAGCTCTTGGAAAGGGAACGCACAAGCGCTTGACCTCAGAGGAAGCGAGGGGAGTCGAAGCCCTACGCAAAGCTCTGGCCTAGGCAGCATGCGGAGATTTTGCGGCTGGCAGAAGAACGGCTCTCAGCGTTGAAAAGTCGCAGGGACGCTAAACCATAAACCCTAAACCCTATCCGAAGCTTTCAGCTTTTCACACCGACTGCGCACATTTGGATCCTCGCCTGGCTTGTCCAAGTTGTGAGAGTGTAAACCCTAAACCCTAAACCCTAAGGACTGTGACTCCGAAAGCTGGAGGCATCTCAGGCTCCCAACCATCTCTTTTAAAGCTGATCGAACCTGGGAACGAAGCCCGGGGACGCATGAATTACTGAATGAAAGCAAGCCGGAAGTAAGTTCGATGCACGGAGCTGCACAGTTCCCACAGCCAGATCGAAGGAACATGGAGGGCTGAGCATTAAGGCAACGCTCCTTTGCGACGCGAGCGCCATTAGGAGAAGCCAATGGCGGCGGACCCTTACCAGTCCTATTTCTTTGATGGTTGATAGTTTCCGAATCCCTCAGCAATGCAGGAGACCAAGAAATCGAAGACCACCCTCAATGAGCAACTCCACCAAGCTTGGCCCATGTCCACACCCTCCCTGCACCCTGAACACCACTCGCCAAGGCCTACAAGAACCGGAAGCCCTCAACGATTTTGCCCAACAAACATGAAGCCTCAACACACTTCTTGGGCTCTGAGGCACATCGATCCGAACTCGAGGGCTCGCTGGAAGCTTTCTCGTACAGGCTCTGCTTTATCTGGTGGAAGGTTGCAATGCTTGCGCTGTTGTTGGGGTCTGCGCACTCGCGTTGCAATCCTTGGCTGGAGAATTGCAAGGCCGCGCGCACTCCCGACCCACATCGTGATTTCCCAAAGTTAGTATT